AGAACCTCATTTTGAAAAAGGAAGTATAAAAATAATTCATTTTTATGATTTAAAGAATCGAAATTCGAGCTTGAAAGCTTTCGCGAGTTTATTTTTGAAAGAGAGGCGTGGCTGAACCCTGTTTCTAGACGATTCTTCGAAGCAGGGAAAAGGCCCAAGAGACTGAGAGAGCCCGGCCCTTCCGTTCAACTTTCATCTTTCTTTCCATGTGTGGTTCCGTTTCATGACTTTTCGTTTCTCCATTGCTGATTTCAGGTCTGTTAAATGATTGACATGATCTTTTATGTCATAGGTTCAACCAACCATTGAAAATTCAAAGCAATACAGAATCAGATCAGCTTTACCAAATATGAAGCTTTTCTTCCCTCTTTGCTCCTTTATTTATCAAACCTTTTCAGCGTTTCTTCACCACCGCCCATGCAGCTGGAGGCGGACCGTTCCTTCAAGCTCTGAAAAATTTTAAAAATTTGTGCATATTACATATATTTTTTAGTGAACTCAAAAAATTTTTTTATTAAATTTTTAATACAATATGTTATATATATTTTTAATGAAGTCTTAAAATATTTTTTTATTAAATTATTAATACAAATTAAAAATAATAAATAACCTTATAAATTCATTAAACTTTACCTCAACTTTTAAATTTTTCTCTTTCAAGTTTTTTCAGGTCTCTTTCTATCTTTTTTTTTATATTATTATTTATATTTATTAATTTTAATTTTATTTTATTTGATCATATATTTTAAATTTTTTTAAATTTTCATCTTCAAATTTTTATGAATCATCTATTATATTTTTCTTTGTTGTAATATCATTCTATCTTCTATTTGTTATTTTTTTAATATGTTCTCAACTATTTTAATTTTTAAAAATTAAAAAATTATTATTTAATTCTTAAATATGTATTGTAACATTACATTATTATTTATTATTTATAAGTAGTATTGCATTTTTTATTATTGTTTAAAAGTTTATTAATATTTTTTTATTAATTTTAATTATATAAAATATTTTATATATTCTATATTTTATATTTTGTTAAAAAAATTATCTTTGAGTATTTAGTTTTTAAATAATATTAATTATATAAAAATTATTAATTTTGCAGCTACTTTAAAAATAATAAACAACTGCTCCTGCACAGTCTGGGCGGCAGCCGTGCCCGGCGGAGGAGAGAGAACTTCATCGTGGCCAGATATGGGCCAGCCACCAACACGGACCCTAATTTAGATGATCAAGGCCGCATATGGGCTCGAACCAATTGCAAGGCCGATGCCCGTGGGACTCTCAAATGTGAAACACGAAACTGAAAAGAAGGCCTAAACTGCAACTGCTATATGGGGAATTCCCATCCCCCTTAGCTGAATATCATTTCAACTTGACCTGGAGCCTGGATTTCATGGATATTTCTGTGGTTTGTCGGATTCCACGATCCCATGGAATATAATATAACCCCACGTCGAGTAATTGCTCCGGCCGAGTGCGTGGCTGATATCAATAGCGTCTGCCCCACGACCTAAGGCATCCTAAAAGGTGCTATATTGTCCTTGCTACACTTTCAAGAACAAGTAGTTTTGCTGCGAGAGCTGCTATCGGTTGTGGACCTGCAGCTTACTCGAAGATGTTCAAGGACGCCTGCCCCGTTGCCTTAACTTATGCTCTGGATGATGCTACCGGCACCTTCACTTGC